ACAAAATCAAAATTATAACTCACCGTTCCTTTCCATTTATGATTTCGAAATCTATGTGTTAAATGTTTTTGTTTCATGTTATTTCAAATTTCATTCAATGCAAAAAAATTATATGTTTTATTGAACGTACTATGTTATCAATTTTAAGAAAATAAACTCTACTTAAAAAAATATTTTATAAATATTTTTCTTTAATATTAAGAATCCTCCATAGCAATTACCATTGGAAAAAAAAAAATATGTTAGAATTTTAATTTTAAACATAATACAATTAATAATAAAAAATTCATTTAACACCCCTAATTAACAACTAACACCATTGATCATGCTCGAACAACTATTATATCTGTAAAAGAAAAAAAACTCGAAACATTGCTCAAAACCCTATCTTCTTCATTCTAAACCCCAGACACAGAGCTCTCCGATGGTGCTACTCCGATGTCGATCCTTGACGATAAATCTCCCTCCTTTTTTACCTTCACACTTCCAATCTCAGAAATTCCACACGATCCGATTATTCCGTAATCCCAATTTCAACTCTCTTCCACAAATCTCAGCTTCTTCTTCTCTTCCCACCAACAATCCAACAACGAACCGTTCGATTTCCGATGCGGCTCGATTCGCTCGCTCAGTGCTGTTCGTGCCTCCTGGTGTGGATATTGAAGAGATAACTGAAGATATGGTGCTTCCGGGCTCCAATATAGTCATCGGACCTTTCGCGGGTCATTCCCAAATCAAAGAAGTCGTGTTCGTCAAGAGCAGTGCTCGAGCTAGAGACTGTCCTAAAGATGACCGTCCTGAGATTGCCATTCTTGGTCGTTCTAATGTCGGAAAATCTTCCCTTATCAATTGCTTGGTTCGTAAAAAGGAAGTCGCTCTCACCTCCAAGAAACCTGGTTCTGTTCCTTAAACCTTTAGACAAATCCAATTTTCTAGTTTTAAACTATCGAAAATTTACGGGTTTTTTTGTTTTGGTCGAAAAACAGGGAAGACTCAGCTTATAAATCACTTCTTGGTGAATAAGAGTTGGTACATTGTGGATTTGCCTGGTTATGGGTATGTATGTTTATAATAATCTCTCATAAAGCAATGTTCTTGTTTGACTAATTGTTTTAAGTATTGAGATTTGTATTTTTAAACCATTTTGCAGATTTGCTAAAGTTTCGGATGCTGCTAAAACGGATTGGTCTGCGTTTACTAAAGGTTACTTCTTGAATAGGGATACTCTTGTGAGTGTGCTTCTTCTGATTGATGCGAGTGTTCCTCCTCAGAAGATTGATCTCGATTGTGCTAATTGGCTCGGTCGCAACAATGTATGTGGTATATTTGGCTTTGATAGTGTGTTACAAATTCTGCTTTGAGGAGTTTCTTAGTTGTTGTTTGGTTTGGTTTTCAGGTACCGATGACATTTGTGTTTACGAAATGTGACAAAATGAAGGCGGCGAAAGGGAAAAGACCTGATGAGAACATCAAAGCTTTCCAACAAATCATTAGAGAGAATTTCAAACAACATCCTCCTTGGATTATGACGAGTAGTGTATCCGGTTTAGGCAGAGACGAGCTTCTACTTCACATGTCGCAGCTGAGAAACTACTGGGATCAGTAGTACTAAAAGGTCCACTTGAAAACATTTGGTTATGTCAAAATGGTGTTTCTTTGTGTAATGTTAACAGTAACAAGTTTGTTTTCCTCTCTTTGTATACATAAAACAATGTTTCTATCGATATGGAAAGAGATTACAGATCATAATAACAAATGTCATTACAGAGGTCGCTAATTCTTGCAGGAAAATGTCAAGAAAATGAAGCTATTTGTTTTTGTTGCTACCATCTTGAAAGATTTGCAGGACTGAGAAGAGGGAAAGCTTCCCAGAACCGAGATGACGAAGGTGACAGATCAAACGCCGCAAACGGATTCTCGGTATTAGCTGTTGTTTCATCAGAGATCTTGAGTGGTTTAGACTCAAATTGATGCACCACCTCTGGCTCATGGTCTTGTGCACCGGTTAACCTCTGAACCAACTCCTTGAAGTTAACAGGCTCGACTCGGTAAACTTGAGGACGCATTCGCTGAAGTGAAGCTGTCACGGGTTTTTTCCATGGCTTAGTAGGTTGCTTTCGGGTCGAATGGAGTGAGGAATGGTAATTTACTGATGATCTTGTTACTGGTTTTTGAGTTGTAAGGTAATTCTGAGAGAAACATGGTTGTGAAGTAGCTTCCATGGCGAGTGTATACACAAGAAAAGATTTCTCAGGATTTGAAGCGAAGTTTCTGATCTTGACGGCTTAAATGTGTACATGTATTTATACGTGTGTGTGTGCAAAGCGTATAGATGTCAACGTTTTAAGTGTGGGTCAAAGCGTTTTTTGTGTTATTTGATCTTCTTTTGCGGCGTATTCGGTTTTGACTTATTGGGGGCAATAATTTAAAAATGTGTGGATATTCTTGGAACTGAATTTTCAACGTGGGTGTGCTCAATATTTTTACTTTTCTATGTTAGGTGTAAAGCAATGAGAACAATTTTTGCTTTAAATTTTGGGGGTCTTCTAGTAAATGGAAGAGCTTTTCAATTTTATTTCGAAGGTAAATATGTAATAGATTCAAACAGGAAAGGTACATAAACTATTTTCAAAAAAAAAAGAAAAAGGTACATAAATTTAGTCTCTTCTTCTAGAACTAACAGATTCGTCTAACAATTACACAATTTATCGTGTGAAACTTGTGCGTTGTGCTGTCAATGGCCGCTATGAAGATATTATTTGATTTCTTTTACCAAAAAAAAAAGAAGATATTATTGATTTTGTTTTATTTGGCCCAATTGTGGATTTTGTTTTGAATTTTCGACAATATTGTTTCCCTTTACATTATGTAAGAAAATATTAAAAAATTATAAACCCATCATTCAAACCATAAAAGTCTCCAAGCGTGTGAAGCTGACGTAATCCCTTACCGAATGGTCGAGTTCCCAATGGCACATGACCGTTTGTGAAATTCAGTGATAGCTCGAGGGCACAGTATTGGGCCGAGATTTTGGAGGCCCAACATTATTTGCAACGTGTATCGTATAAAGTATAATGA